TCCTGAGTTGTGGGCAAAAGTCGGACCACGGGCGGGACTCGAACCCGCATCTTCTGCTTACCGGGCAGTTGCGTTACCACTTACGCTACCGGGGCCACCTTTGACCTCTCAGCTCAATGGCTATTTGTGCCATTGCCTTCGAGCACTCACACGTTCAACGTGATGAGCCGGTTAGCCGATATCGGCAGTGAACCGCAAGGCTGAAGGCTTTTTACAAGTTTTAGACTGTTTTTGTTTGATAACTGCTGTTTTACGCCGCAGTGCCGCGATACGAAAGTTATCACAAGAATGCTGAGTTGTGGGCAAAAGTCGGACCACGGGCGGGACTCGAACCCGCATCTTCTGCTTACCGGGCAGTTGCGTTACCGCACTCACGCTACCGGGGGTCAAAAGTCATCACGTTGAACGTGTGAGTGCTCGAAGGCAATGGCACAAATAGCCATTGAGCTGAGAGGTCAAAAGTGGCCCCGGTAGCGTAAGTGGTAACAGCAACTCCCCGGTAAGCAGAAGGATGGCGGGTTCGAGCTCCCGCCCGTGTCCCGACTTTTGCCCACAACTCAGCCAGCTCTCTGTGATAACTTTTCGTATCGCGGCAGCTCCCCGCTTCGGCGACAGCGCTCCGCCGGCCTGACCCGCCTGCTCACGCCTTCCCGGCCCCGCGGCGTAAAACAGCAGTTATCAAACAAAAACAGTCTAAAACTTGTAAAAGCCTTCAGCCTTGCGGTTCACTGCCGATATCGGCTAACCGGCTCATCACGTTGAACGTGTGAGTGCTCGAAGGCAATGGCACAAATAGCCATTGAGCTGAGAGGTCAAAAGTGGCCCCGGTAGCGTAAGTGGTAACGCAACTGCCCGGTAAGCAGAAGATGCGGGTTCGAGTCCCGCCCGTGGTCCGACTTTTGCCCACAACTCAGCATTCTTGTGATAACTTTCGTATCGCGCACTGCGGCGTAAAACAGCAGTTATCAAACAAAAACAGTCTAAAAATCGAAGAATTTTTGGTTCACGTTTTCTATACAGCGTGGTGATTCATCAATGATGAAAAACCTTCCTAAAACAGAAAAAGTGCAGTTTTAACTCGTTTTGATCCCGAGCAAACAAAACGATGACAAACAATAATTGATTTCGCGACAATCCTTCAGAAATATCCAGGTTCGTACATAAATTTCAGACGACGACGACGGGTCATCAAATCGGCGTTGCATTTTAGTATTTTTACGCAATCATTCCGCTCGTGTTCTTTTAAATCTTTCGCAGCAAGGCATCAGGAGCGCGCAGAATATGCCTCAAAAAAGCATGCGAATGTGTGTAAAAATGCTATAAAGCCGAGCGAGAACGTAAATGCAGGTCCCCTCCGCTAGTAACTGGGAGTTAACGACAAAAAGTATCTGAATACTTTCAGTGGTTGGATATTTGTTTAGCCCTTGTCCTTAACCGAATTTTAATCTTGATTTTTATGCTGCATCCTCTCTCATTGTTTTTTATTGCCGAGAGACATTATAGAATTGGGAAACGTGATAGAATTAGATATGGTCCAACTGTGCCGCATACCCACCTGATCCGTCGCTTTGGGTTTAGATAACGCAATGTCGTGGTAAGAACGAGACCAAGAAAGTTCACTATCACTAGTGAAAACAGAGCCACGTTTGTTCGAGCTGCGTCCTTGATCGCTGTCAACCAACGAGCGTTTAAATGCGCTTCGTTGAAACTTTCATTATAATATATAGCAAAAAGAACACAAGCAGTCGCCAGTACCTGAACAAAAAGAACAGTTTTTCACTGGTGATCCCCTTGCGAATATAAATATCATTCAGAACTGGAGAGCAAGTTGGGACCTATAATCTTCGTGCACTTTATCCAATTTGCACGAGACTCGAACTGTCGACTAAGTTATGCAAGTAGTTCTCTGTTCTATTGCATTGCGTAAAAACATCATTTGCTACAATCAACTGCGCCCACTGTGCAAAGACGCGTCAAGTATAAACGCTTAAGGCATTCAAAAACACCTCAGACACTATATTGACTCCGATGAAGTGTTTTGTATTAAATGCCTTAAATATATGAACTTTATAAGGTTGTGAAATTGAGAGAAATGTTCAGATGCTCAACGGCGACAAAACTCACTGTTGCGGCAATTAATGCCGGTCCAAGTTTCCGGTAACCTGACTCGTAGTTACCAATAAAAATTGTTGCAAACCATCGTTCAACCACTATAGAGAACTGCATGAATTGGGAACCAATGAGTACAGAGAATATGGGTAAATTCAGGACAATGTAAAGGATTCGAGGTAGAAATATGCTGCAAGGCGCTGCATAAAAATATGACAATGCCAGATGATGCGCCTGAAAATGTTGAGCTCGCATGCAGTCTCCTCTTTTTGCCTACCTTGGGTGTGCAGAATGTGCAAGTGTTATAACGTAGCTTGCGCTTCCTGTACACGTGAGACCTCAGAAATTATAGGGTGATTGATTTGGATGCAATTCAATCCTTATCGTATCAGTCCTTTGAGAATTTGAGAAAAGAAATCAACTCCCACTGAAAGTTCAAAATTTGGAAATCTTCAAGGATATTGCTCTCAAAAACAGATTTGCTCTGAACCTTGTACCCAAGTGCACATCGAACACATGGGCACCATTAGCACGTCTGTGAGAATGCTATACCTTCCCAGCAATACACGACCAACTCCTTTATACTTTGCTGGATGCCTGCTTTGTTAGGCCTTACCCAGCCTTCGAGCAAGAAACTTTGCTTCTCAAAGGAAAATATGTTTTTGGTCCACTTTCTTTGCTGTAACACAATTAAAAAGCATCACAAACTGACCTTCATAAAGATGTTCAGGAAGTTGAATGTGAGACAGCACAGACACAGTGAAAAGAAGATCATCTGAAAAAAATTCAAAAAAAAATTCAAAAATTCCACAGATCTATTTGTCAAGAAATTTTCTGCTTATCTGCAAAGGAAACTTATCAAAGTGGTAATAGGCAAAGTGGTAGAAAATTATTGCTTACTCCTCAAGTTGGGGTGGAAAAATACGCTGTGGCCATAAAAGCGATGAAAGAAATAAATCATGTGGACTGCTGATGTTGCTGAGATAACGAAAGAAAATGACAAAGAAAACCGATAATACCACATGGTTGCAACAAGAACACCATGCTGAAACTTATTATGGTAATGTGCTGCAATACACAACCAAATGGGAGTGGTACACTGGAAGACACGGCCACATAACGCGCGCACGACTCCGGAAGTCCCCGACCCCAGATCGATCTAGACAGCTGGATGTTCTTTGATGTTGGTGGCCTGAGACCAGATTTATCTTTGAGTGAGTTAAAACACCGACTCTGGATCACTATGCCTCTGCGAGTCCGATTTAAGGTCGAATGTCGTTAGAAGAAGGGATAGTGTAGCACAGGATGATCGTCTTCTGTCCATTACGTAAATTATGTGACATGGGCGTTATACACTGGATCAAAAGGCAAAAAAAACGCCAAGCCTCCATACTCGAGCGATATTATCTGAAACATGCATTCCGCTATTCTTTAATACGGGATGCTGGGAGAACTTCAGTGTTCATCCTGTATTCGTGTGTCTCTGATGGTAGCAGGGGACATCATTGGTTGGGGATTTGAGTCGACTCTATACGAGCCCCCCAGCCCTCTGTCCTTCCTCATTGAATCGAGCCGTCAAGCGGGGGGGGGGGGGGGGTAAATAGCACATGTGAAACAGGAAAAGCCGCGAGACAATACGACCCCCTCTACAATCAGATTTTCCCCAACTTCCTGCCCCTTTTTTCCAAAATTTCCCGAAAACTTCCCTACTTTTACCAAAAATTTGGGAGGAGGGGGTGTACACATGAAACAGGAAAATCACCAAAAGTCAACCGCCACTCCCACAACGCCAAAACGTAAATACGACCCCCCCCCTCCCAAAAATGATCAAATACGACCCCCCTCCCTCCCTTTACAACGAAGCGAGAAAAATCAACTATCAAAATAAATTTTTCTCAGCCCAAATACGACCCCCCTCCTGGCGACCAAATACGACCCCCCTATTGGGGATTCCCCAACAACGATGTGCCCTGGACGGTAGCCACTATCCAACTTCATTTCTGCTCTTTGGAAGCATCACCCAGTTCATAGGAGCTTACCAATGGATAGTATCACTTTTGACATCTGGACAGAAAAAGTGTTATTGGAGGACGCTCTGGTTCCCAACACTCAAACTACAATGGCCGTACAGCAATAGAAAAGCCGATCGCTATCACTCATGTCTTTTCTTGTGGTTTAATGTCGCGACTTGTGAAGCAATATCAGTGTTAGGATCTGTCACACTCACATTTTTCATTCTGTCAAGGGAATGGTTGAACTTCCCATGGAACTTTGAATGGAGACCTAGGTACATCGATAGAGCCTCGAATGCTGATTACGAATATGCAGATTAAAAGTGCTACGGGGACCTCCCAGACGAGATCTGGGTGGTCAAAGTTTGAGTTCTGGCTCGTAAGCGCTGCTGATCGATGCCCTATAGTTTGCGACCGCGAGAATTATGCGGGTTTGCATCCGGTTGGCGCGAAAATTTTTGCTTCGCTCCGTATAAGAGCTTCAACTCTAATTTTCGAAATTCTTCCGAATTTACGGCCCAGCAGGGCAAGTAGATCAAGTACATCAAGTATACGACGTACTCGATCTAGTATGGATTTGGTCATATCTGCCCTCTCTGAACATATTACCCATCCGACAATTCAAAGTTTTAGCGAGAAATTCGTTCATGGGAGATTTCGACCCCCTGAACACGAATATCACATCCTTCGACGAAAAAACGCTCGTCTGGCCAAATTGCGATTCTGGGCAAAACTTTGAATTGTCGGATGGGTAATATGTTCAGAGAGGGCAGATATGACCAAATCCATACTAGATCGAGTACGTCGTATACTTGATGTACTTGATCTACTTGCCCTGCTGGGCCGTAAATTCGGAAGAATTTCGAAAATTAGAGTTGAAGCTCTTATACGGAGCGAAGCAAAAATTTTCGCGCCAACCGGATGCAAACCCGCGTAATAATGTCGCAACATTCACGAGTGACACTGTTATCTGA